GCGCCTAGCGCGGTGTACTTAAACTCTAGACCAAACTATTTTCTGTCACTTGCAAAAACCAGGGCGGATACCCTTGTAAGGGTATTCGCACCGACAGCTTACCGGACCATATTAAGCGACGTCCCCGTCGCTTCGCCAAATCAAAAAGCTATAAATCCATCCACATTCCAAATGCTGACGAAACAAGAGCCAATCCGATTAACCGACAAACACAGGGTAGAGGCCTCCCTCAAACCATGTCTTCAACAACTATATGCTGCCAGGTTTCTAACCTGGGTCTCACACCGTCCAGAAATTAGGACACTGGCAGCATAAGTTCCACAGACCTCCCCAGTCGTCCTCCCCCCGGTTCTAGACAACTTTCGGCTTCTCGTTGGGTGTCCCCAGTCCTGGCAAAAACTAGGGACGAGGGCCTTAATCGAGACCTTTTAAAGGCACTCTCGCCTTTTTTCTCAAAAACTTCTCGCCATCAAAAACACGCAAGTATATATGTATACTTAATATTCGCTCAGCTCTTTCTGCAGTCTAGTACAGAAATGCTAGGTCTCCACCTTGGCCCACCACAGCCTGGCTGATCGGACCAGGACCACGGCCCACCGCATTGTTATTTAACGGCAGTACCTTCGTTGGTTACGCAACGATAGGTTCTCTCCTGGTAAGCACTCAATCAGGATTTCCTCCAAAAAAGTTTTCAACCATCATTATCCCGCGGAGTAATTTCACTGGGGCGGGCAACCCCCCCTTAAACTCTTATCCCGCGGTCCCGCAGCCAGGTTGCGCCGGCTAGCAGCCATCCAATGGGGTTACGCCCTAGAGGTACTAACTTCTTTTCCGTTAGCTTGGCCTTCCTTCAATATGTCCCAGAACTAGCACAGGTGGTTAAGCGGGGCGTCGCAAAACAAAATCACTGGCCCGCTGCGTGATCACGCAGGGGTCTGAAGGCAGTTACCAGCCCTTCCACAATAGGCCTGACATCCTTCGCACGCTCACAAACAAAATCACCGCTAAGTCCACCAGGCCGTGACTTCTGACTTGATCAGAGTCAGCAGTCACCCACTCTGAGACATCTCTTGCCCTGCACTCATTGCGACTTTCTCAAACATTTCAAGCAAAAGTGACTCTTTTCGTCAGACTTTATCATCCATCAAACAACTCACCATGCCATAAATCAGTGTACTCACCTCTGAGGGTGAGTCCTCCAACCATAGACCATCCCCCTTTTCCAAAAAAATTCCAAGGGGCTCTTATCATAAACAAAACACCCCCTCCTCTAAAAACCACGAAGGGTCTTGCCATAAAACAAAGCATTCCCTCTTCCATCTATCATGAGGGTCTCATCATAAACTAAACACCCCCTCTCTCAAAGTCACGAGGGGCTTCGTTATATCACAAAACATCACAAAAAAAGCATCCCCCCTTTTCCAAAATCTAAGGGGGTCCCATTCATAGAACAGAACATCACTGAGCGACCATCTTATGGGTCCTTATCATAACTTAGATAACTTTCACAGACGGACTGCGCTTCCTCCTCTTATACCCTGCCTTATCAGCTGCCSYGGGCGGGTCGCACAAGTATACCGAGGAGCAGACAGTTTTACTTACAATCATACTCATAGTATCAATAGTTCAGCAGATGTTTGTTACACACATTTTCCACACAAAACTCATTATACATCACAGTACAACCACACATGCGAGAGTGACAAGCGATCGTCATATATATGAATGG